CCCCAAAACCCCAAAACCCCAAAACCCCAAAGGACCTAAATTAATTTGAATTGTATAAATTTAAAATGAATAAAGCTAAACACAAAAAGAGAGGTAAATCTTGAACTTATTCAAAACCTGACCACTAAATAGCCAATAAGCCTATTCCAGGTCTAACCAAGCCAGAAGATCAGATAAGCTTGAAAGAAATTGACAAAAGGTTTAAACACAAGCGTGACAAAGCCACCAAAGTCAAGGATGACCTCAATGAAAAGATTGAGAAAGTATGGATCACAAATTAATCGGTCTTAGCTATCCCAGCTCACTGAGGAATCCAAGCTCAAGAGAGCCAGGATGAATGCTAATATAGCTAAGAAGAAAGGAACAGGTACTATTTTGGATGAAAAGTTGTAGCCAGGGAGATCAAAAGATCTAAAAATTTCACTATTGATGTGGAAAATATTGAATTCCCAGATACGGTTATCCAGACTTCAGATGAAGTCACTGTTATGGAAGCAGTTCAAAATTTGATCAAAGAGCATGTAGATTATGATGGTAAATCTGAGACTTGAACTGTCTAGATGATGAGATGTTCACTGATCCTGACTTCAAAGCCATACCAGACTCAATCTACCTGCAAGATGATATTTCAAAGGAGGAAAAATAAGGACTTCTGGATAGGTAAACTACTGCTCTAATCCTTAGATGACAACCTTCAAAAGGTCAAATGGTTTAGGATTAAAGAAATCGCAGAAGATGACGAATGGGGGTTCTCCTCACTTTCCTATAAAAAGATAGATGATATGAGGATATGTCAAGGACAGCTCAAAGATAACTGGTTCCTATCAGCTTTGTCGATCCTGAGAACTGAAGACTCTCTATTCCAGAACCTTACCTGTGATAAACAATTTGATCGATACAGAAATTATGGTCTCTATGTATTTAAATTTTACAAAAATGGGTCATCCTGCTATGTAATCATTGACGACAAAATTCCATGACTTGAAAAATCTAATGGATCGAGAGTTCCATACTTTGCTAGATCTAGATATCAAAACCTTTTCTGGGTATCTCTAATAGAAAAAGCATATGCTAAACTCCATAAAAGATACTGGGCTTTAAACAATGGCACCATAGAGGATGCGCTTCATGATTTAGCAGGAATCTATCCCGAATGGCTCCCAATAGACCAAAATTCCTTCACAGATTCTGGTAAATTATATGATGCTTTGAAGATTTTCACTCTTAGTGGCTCATTGATTGGAACATCACTGATTTACGATAAGACTGAAATCTCCAAAGCTCTACGCACAAAAGAAGAGACAGCTGCCCTCTCTAAAGGAATCCAGCCTGGAGTTTATTATTCAGTCCTTGACTGTCGCGAATGCACAATAGATGAGGAATCTGGCAAATCAGCTAAAATAGTTAGAATCCAGAACTCTTGGGAAGACTCTCCAGAATGGAATGGAGAATTTTCTGATGAAGATGAGATTTGGACTCCCAAACTTAAAAAATATTTTAAATCTCTCTCCTCCAACCAAGATAACCCAAGGTATGTCCATCAATGGTACTCAGACGACGGCATTTTTTGAATGAGAATAGAAGACTTTGCACAATATTTCAACTCAATTTACATAATGAGGGATTTCCCTGATAATTTTGAAGGTGTGAAATACACATCAAAGTGGGATCCCTCATTTGGCTATCAAAATAAGAAAAATGTAGACTGGATAAAGAATCCTCAGTATGTATTCAAAGTGAATGACCAAAAACCAGTTGATTTCACTATCTTCCTGCAGCAAAAAGATCCTAGATTTATATCTTCAAACAGCCCTCCTTACATTCCAAAGTTATTGAATATCGGATTTTTGGTGTGCAAAATTGCCAGCACAGAGAATGAGTTAAAATTCTACCATGAATCTAAAGAAATTTACCGAAAGAGTCCTACCTGCAAACGGTTTGTTCATGGTAAATTATCACTCCCAATCGGCCGTTACATATTGGTCCCATTTACTGAAAACACTGGAGATTGAAGTGAATTCCAACTGAAATTCTTCTTTGATAGTGATTTCATAAATTTCATAACCCCTGGATACAAAGTTATCCTTGAAAACGAGCAATCAATAGAGCCCATAAAACAGGATATTTCAAAGAAGGACATTCTCTCCAAGATGAATGAAAGGTTACATAAGGGAGGGAAATATGACAATGTTCTTGGTGAGGTCTCTTCTATGCGAGTCAGGACCCACAAAAATACTCCTGGAGATTGGCTTATCAAACATGAAATTGCCACCAATTCTTGGGCTTCAAAAATCATGGTTCCTTTCAATTGTGATTATTTAATAAATACAAAGGGTATGAACGAAACTATTGTCAAAGCTGGACTCCATGATAAAAATTCAAGAATTTCTGCAAATGCTTCACTAAAACAGTCGAAATCTTCAAACACAAAAGATAGTTCTGTCCCTAAGAAAGTCATGGTTGATCACCTTGATATGAAAAAGGAGTTTGAAGAATCTCTAGTGATCTCTTAAAAGGTAAGCTAAATGAAGACCACCAATCAATTCTCTTTGGCATCGATCCTGACGAGAAAGTAAACTTAGACCCTGACCTATATTCCTCAGCAGTTGAAGCAACCAGGAATATTCTGGACTTCAGCTACTACTACATGGGCGAGAAAGCATTTCTTGCTCTGGTTGATGTCATTGAGGAAGAGAAAGGAGTTCAAGCTTTAAAGCTACAAGGTAACAATCTCACTGATAAATGTGTTATTGCCTTATGAAGAATGTTAGAAGATGTGCATCATAAAGACCTTGAATACCTTGACTTGTCGGAAAATCCAAGCCTCACTGATGAAACAGCAAGTGCCTTAGCGTCTTTAGTAACCAGATTGCCAAATCTTGCACAGGTAAGGCTCCAGGAATGTCCAAGAGTGAGCAAGCAGAAGATGAATGTTCTTGAACTCAAAGTTGATGAAAAAATATTAAATGCATAATTGATATTCATAGTTTCAATTAGCTTAACTCCCATCGGGGTTTTGGGGTTTTGGGGTTTTGGGG